GTAAAGCAATTAATATATTGTAAATTATAGCCATTATTCTGAAACTTGTGTTTATTATAAGGAATCCTATTTCTTAAAATTAGTCACTTGAGTTTTACCTAATATTCTATTTTAGCTCTTCCTCAATTCACTGTAGCCAACTGCAAATGCAGCTTTTCATACTTGACCTGTGAATCTCATTATTGCCAGAGAGACTGGAATAAACTTGGAGATAGGAAGAAATTATGTTTTTGGAAAGGAAAAAAAGGATGTTGGAGCCTTTTTTCAGAACATAACTGTTATTCTGCTACAGAGACTTTAATACATTTACCAACTATGCTCAGTTTTGTTTTGCAAAATTTGTAAATATTAATAATTTAAAAGAGCACTTGGAACTCTTTTGTGGGTAGTCATGTATTTACAGTGTATGTGTGAAGACAAAAAGATTTCTTAAAGCAAAACCTGCTGCTCTTTCTCTGGCAAATCTCAAGAAATAAATGGACTACTGAATTCCTCATTAAGTCTTTTTTTTAACTTGCTTCTGATGCATGGAGTGTTGCTTGCCTAACGTCTGACACTGTCTCACCTAATCACATTCCAGCCATCAGTTGTTTTGAGGGCATCTTTAATATCTTTTTGTGCCCACTTGTGGCACTAAGCAGTTTCACAAACTCATCGTAACACTGGTTGGAAGGGACCTGTGGAGGACAGTTGGTCCAGCTGCTGCCTCCACAAAGCTATGAACACCAGCTCAGCTCAGACATGGTTTTGCCTTGCAAAGTCTCAAAAACCCTAAAGGACAGTAACTCTACAGCCTCTGCTCACTGAGCAATGTGTTCCTGAGTCACACTATCATTCTCCTACTGTTCAGCCTGAACCTCCCACACTCCGATATGTGGCTCCTGCTCCGTGACTGGGCTGTCTGGCACTCCTGAGAAGAGTCTGGTTTTGTCGTCTTTGTAACTACCTTTCAAGTAGTCATAGCTTGCTCTCATGCCCCCCCTTAGCTTCCCCTCTGTCAGCTTAAAGAAGTCCTTCTTTCCCAACCTTTTCTATTCTGAAAAATCTAAAAGTTTTAGTCCAGCTGAAGTCATGTGGCTCCTTGGGTTTTCAGGATCTGAGTGAGAATACAGAGTGTTTGAGATGCAAGAGATTACATTAGCCCTCTTGGCCTAAAACTTTAAAAAACTGTGAAACAAAACCTTTTTTTTTTTATCTGTATTTCTAAGGATAAAACACAGCAAGAGTCAGCTAATACTGAAATGATCTCTGCAAAAACCATCCTAACCCTTTTAAAGTGTGGATTTGCACCTGTGTGTAGACGTGTGTCAGGTGCTTTGGATGCAGATGGTTTGTTATGACCAGGATTACTTCGACTTTCAGTATACTGGTGAAGAGCAGAGAGCCACAATAAAATAGCAAAATACACTTTGCTTTCCTTTACAGACTGGCTGCCTCAATGACAATGACAATGAGTACACAGTGAAAACTAAACTCAGAGCTCCAACAAAATCTCCTACAACTTCAGAAGATAGTATTTGAGCAAGAAGCAAACACAGATATAAGGCTCTTTCACTAAAAGGAGGGTAGTATGAGTCAGCGAGCAGCAGTTACTTCAAAACAGGCATATTACCATCATTTTTTTGAGTTGAAATGTGAGAGCAGGAGTTCGTGTTTGTAGAAAACAGGAAAATGTTAATGAAACATTTACCACAACCTCACATTCTAAAAACAGACAAAATGCAGAAAAAAAATGTACTTATTAAAAGCATCTCCTGCACCTTCAGTACCAACCTTATTTCACCCTCTATAAAGTCTTTTTGACAACCTAGACTCCAGGGTTTGACTAAGCAGCTAGGGCAGAGGCAAGCAGCAGAGCTCACTGGATTTCCCCCATCAGTGCCCCAGTACTCCCCATGTTTGGTGAACCTGAAGTACCAAGCTCTGGGCCAGCACCTGCA